TTATCACAATATGCTAATTTTTTTAGAAGGACCTGTATATATATATAACTAACTAGCCGTGGGGCTAGCCGTGAAATTGGCCCCACCAAGCTGGAGGAGTGGCGGTGTGAGGCTGCAGTTGGAGACTATCTGCCAAGGTTGGGCTTGCTCTGCAGGGCGAGGGTTCAGGTCTGCTGTCATCGGATCTGGGTGTCATTAGGATCCGGTCTTCCGTGGAGGATTTTGACGGCTGCTTGGGTAGCAAGGTCTGTTTTTGTCTTCTTCTTTTTTATTTTTCTGGCGTCGGATTTGCGTGCAGTGACCACTGTCTACCATCAGAGGGCATCTGTGACTTGAGATTGGGCGTTGGCCTTGCATGGCTACTTTATAAAACAATATCTCCACGTTGTGAATTAGAATGTCAAGTAAATCCAAGCGTGGAAAGAAAGAACTTTTGGGAGAACTAAGTACAGAAGACATGGAGGACATTAAAACATCCTTAAACTTTATGAGTATGGAAATAGCTAAGCTGACATCAAAACAAGAACAAATACTTGGATTATTTGAAGAGGTGAAACAACTCAAAATTCAAATAAGTGAAAAGGACAAAAAAATTGTTGAACTTGAAAAAAGGGTTGACGACATGGAAAGGAATGCGAGACAAGAAAATTTGATTATAACTGGTCTTACAGTAAAACCAAAGTCCTTTGCAAAAGCTGTGACAGGTCCTGCAATAACTGAAGACGCATCACATCAAGACCTACGGACATTGGAAGATCAGGTTGTGTCATTTCTGCAGGAAAAAGACTTTAACGTGGAAAATGAGGATGTGTCTATTTGTTACACCTTGCCTGGATCGGATAAAAGCAAACCTGCAATAGTTATTAGATTCCTTAGCAGGAAACTAAGAAATAATGTGATGATGCAGGCAAAAAAACTAAAAGGTACAAAGGTATACATCAATGAACATCTAACAAAAAAGAATGCAACTATTGCACGTGAGGCAAGATTGTTAAAAAAACAAAAACATATAACATCTACATGGACAAGAAACGGATATGTCTGGATCAAAGTGCAAGATGGGTTACAACCTAAGATAATAAAGGAAATGAAGGACTTGGAAAAATTTAAATAATCTAAAATTATACTTTAAATCATTGTCATATTATATTCACAATTGTTAAAACATTAGTATGGTGAACAGATGTTTTAACTATGACTGAATATATTGACTCCGAACCGAAAATTTACAACGTTGATGATCTGATTGATCCAAGTTTCTTTCCAGTCATAGAGGACTGTGATTATTATAGTGGAAAACAATTTAATGACATGAAAAAATCTGGTTTATCTATAATTCATTTCAATAGTAGGAGTATAAATGCTAACATTTCCAAAATAACAGATTATTTGAAACAAATAAATAGATCATTTACGATAATAGCATTATCAGAGACGTGGTTAAATGATGACAATTTATTTAATGCCCACATTGAAGGGTACGAATTATATAATATGAATAGAAACAATAAAAGAGGTGGTGGTGTGGCTTTATTTGTCAATAGCGTAATAAAATGTAAATTAAATAGGGAAATGTCAAAAATTGATGAGAATATAATTGAGATAATAACAATTGAAATATTAAACAATAATGATAGAAATATCATAGTAAGTTGTGTATATCGACCACCTGGTCCAAATATTGAGGCATTCACAGATAGAATTATAGATCTATTTGATAAAAGTTGTAATAAAACAATTTTTTTATGTGGTGACTTTAATATTGATTTAGGGAAAAAATCAGATTCCAACAATATCAGTACATTTATTGATTCGATGCAAACTTTAAATCTTTATCCATTAATTTCAAAGCCAACAAGAATCACGACTCATAGTAAAACAATAATAGACAATATTTTTACAAATACAATAAATGGGGATGTGATTGGTGGTATTTTAATAAGTGATCTAAGTGATCATTTACCAGTTTTTACAATTTACAAGAAGTATCAAATTACTACAAAAAAAACTGCTAAAAAAAATAAAATAATAATAAATACATCAAAGAAAGCTTTGGATAAATTAAAAAGTGATTTAACTAAACAAAACTGGGACAATGTATATGTTGATGATGTAAACAAATCATATGATGAGTTTATGAATATTTTGGAAGCCCTATATAAAAAAATTGTGTGTTAAAAAATTATATCAAAAAGAATGTTGTAGACCAACAATGGATGACAAATGGATTGAGAAATGCTTGTAAAAAGAAAAATTATTTGTATTCTTGTTTCCTGAAATACAGAACACAAGCAGCAGAAGATAAATACAAAAAGTACAAAAATAAATTAACTGGGATTATAAGAAAACATAAGAAAGAATATTATAGTGGTTTATTAAATAATTGTAATGGGGATATGAGGGCCACATGGCGGGTCATAAATAGTGTTCTAGATAAACATATAGTAAAAACAGGCATTTCACAAAATTTTGTAATAAATAATGAGAAAATCGACGATGAAAACGAAATTGTAAATGGATTTAACCAATACTTTGTGAATGTTGGAACTAACCTTGCAACTATGATACCTAAAGTGAACAGTAATGTTAACTATTTAATTGATGGTTGTCTTGATAGTATGTTCCTGAATGGAACTGATGAAGAAGAAGTAATGAAAGTAGTTAACAACCTTGTTGATAAAAAGTCAAAGGATTGGATGAATATGGATATGACATTTGTGAAGAATATAATGGGCCATGTAATCAAACCATTCATATATATTTGTAATTTATCCTTTACAAAGGGAGTATTTCCAGATAAAATGAAAGTAGCCAAGGTAGTTCCTCTTTTCAAAAATGGTGACAAATGTGTGTTTAATAATTACAGACCGATATCCTTGTACCTCAGTTTTCAAAAATCCTGGAGAAACTATTTAGCAATAGATTAGACCAATTTATTGAAAAACAGAATATTCTAACTAATAATCAATATGGTTTTAGAGCAAAAAATTCTACATCTATGGCTCTCATGGACTTTATTGAACAAGTAACTACTGCTGTGGACCAAAAACAATATTGTGTAAGTGTTTTTGTTGATTTAAAGAAGGCTTTCGATACTGTTGATCATAATATTCTAGTTAATAAATTACATAAATATGGTATTAGAGGATTAGCGTTACAGTGGGTGTGTAGTTACTTGGAAAACAGGAAACAGTTTGTACAGATGAATGATGTGAGATAAGATCTCTGCACCATCACATGTGGAGTTCCTCAAGGATCTGTACTTGGTCCAAAGTTATTTATTTTATATATAAATGATCTGGTTAAGGTGTCTGGAATCCTCAAATCTGTTCTTTTTGCTGATGATACAACATTTTTTTGTTCTGGTAATAATATTGAACAGTTATTGGAATCAATGATGAATGAGTTTGTTAAAATTCAGAATAGGTTTAAACTCAACAAATTATCATTAAACTTGGAAAAAACAAATTATATGATATTTAGTAACAGAAATAAAACTATTGATGTTCCATTTTTAATTGAGGATTCTGAGATTAGTAGAGTTAATGAAGCTAAGTTCTTGGGTGTCATCATTGATGAAAATTTGTCATGGAGGCAACATATAAACTCTGTTAAAATGAAAATATCCAAATCTATTATGATATTTTATAGTCAGGTATCTATTGAATGACAGAGCGCTGTATTTACTGTATAATACAATTATTGTGCCACATTTAATTTATTGTGTTGAAGTTTGGGGAAAGGCGTGTAAATCAATTACAATGCCTATTTTTATTTTGCAGAAAAGAGTCGTAAGAATCATAACAAGAAAGCATTATTATCATCCAACAAGTATATTATTTTATCAAATGAAATTGCTGAAGTTCCATGATTTGGTAGACTATAATATTTTATCACTTATGTATAGAGCTCATAAAAATATATTACCTTTTAATATCCAAATGTACTTTGTGAAAAGATCTAGCTGTTACGATCTAAAAGGGAAAGACGTATTTGTTAAACCAGAGTTTAGAACAAGTTTGAAGGGAAGATCTACCGTAATTCAGGAAGTTGGTTTATGGAATGACTTAGTAAAAGAGGTTAAGGATGCTATATCAATTTATGTATTTAAGAAACTGATTAAAATCAAATTGTTAAATGAATATCAATGATTGTATTTTGATGAGTATTGTATGTGAATTGTAAAATATTTTGATTTACTTACTTGTATTCGCTGTTTACAGGAAACGTTTGTTTGAATTGCTTATTAGATAAATAAGGAGCAGATTTAATAAGATTTTTTTCTTCATCTGCTACCTTTCATTTTATATTTAATATTTTTTTTGTTGTTACATATATGTTGATTATGTTGATTATGTATTTATAAAATGAATAAATAAAAATAAATAAATATATATATATATATACATACACACACTAGGCCACCACTTTAGGTTCTGCTCTTTTTACAGTCTTCTGTGCTCGAGCCTAGTTATTTTGACAGTTATTACAGATTTATTGTGAAAGTTCTGGATGAAATGAACTCCTGAACACAAGAACAAAAGTTCAAACCCACCTTTAAAGTTAGTTCAAGCCCCGGCTGTGATCAGGTTAGACGGGATCAGATGTTTTGGAAGTAAAGTGGTGTGAACTAATTTCAGTACAGCACATCTTAGGCTTTAAAACATAATTTCTATTTCAAGCCGGTTAATTAAAAATAGGAATCCATTAGAAATAATGAGGTCACAAAATTTAAGTAAAATTTTCAGAGTTAGACACTTGTACCATAACTAACTGGTTACAGTTAAACAGCTCTTACAGCTTTTACCATTGTTGCAGTACAGTTACCTACTGTTGGGCGGAACGGTGGATTAGTGGTTAGCAGTGTTGCAGGACAGCAAGAATGTCCTGGGTTCAAGCCCTGGTCTGGACCATGTTCTCTTGTTTGAGTGGTTTTCCTCCCACAGTCCAAAAACCTGCATGTGTAAAGGAACGGAGTGTCTCCACCAGTAAAACACATCGATTTTATTCTCTCCCCCTCAGGTAAAGGAAAAACCCCTCTGAGGCGAAACAATGGCGTGGTTCTGTCTGGTCGGGTGAAGCCTCAGGTTTCCCACAACAGCTGTGAGAAGAGCTGCCAGGTGACCAGTGAACAGATCAAAGCTGACATCAAGGCTGCGACTGAGAGGACTAACAGTAAAGAGCCCCCCCCAGAGACAGGAGAGGCCTCTGCAGGACCAGGACCTGACCATGGAAACTCCCAAAGCAGCGCTGAGGCCGGATCGAGAGCCAGAGAGAGGTCCGTCAGCGCGTCTGCCGGCAGAGTCCGGCCTGCTGCTACCCCCCCTGGCCGTGTGGGGGGGTGTAGGAGAGTCTTGAATGGGAACAACAGGACCGGGGAAGTCCCATCCAAAGCACAAAATGGGGATGGTTTCTCAGCTGAGACTGTGCTGAGTAGTTCTGGTCCTGGCAGTGTGGACAGCCAGGGGTCCAGGTGTCCTGCTCCTGGGACAGCAGGACAGGATAGACATGGAGAAAGACAAGCTGCCACTACTAGGACTTCTGTTACTGGGTCACAGCTGAACCCCAGTCAGGACTTTCTTCCCAGGCGGCCTTTGACCCGATCTTGCACTCGCACATCTTCTGCACCTTTAGTACCTGAAACAGGTAAGAGTTCTGCTGACAAGGACTTTATTCTCAACTTTGTCGCCCGCCTTTCACCAGCAGCTCATGTTTGTAGCATCTCATGAAGAACTCGTTGACATCAAGAGTCAAGTCAGTCAAATCAAATGTATTTATAGAGCACATTTAAAACAGTAACTGTTATCAAAGTGCTTAACAAAACCAATCACAGCATCAAATATTAATAACAAGATATTACTCTCTCACTGGTACATTTTCATCTTTAAATCACTTCTTGGTCTGCTGCC